AGAGAGAGAGAGAGAAAGATTTAACGTGCATGCTTCGTCCAACAGGATAGGATAGGATAGGAAAGGAAGGCTACCTTACCTCACCTACCTACCTAGTTACGCAGTGTATACTAAGCGAGCCCCATCAACGTCTCTCAGAGTTCTTAAACCCATCAACAACGACTATTATTTCACCGCCATGCGTATGCAATGCAACGCAATTTGCCCTCTACAGGACCCTCACGTCGTTCTAATTACATTATGCATTTTTTTATCTATACCTAAGGTAGATAAGTACGTACGTACCAAGCAGCAGCATCTACACAGCTCTTCTATTTCTATCTCTGTATCGCTCGATCTCGGTCAAAAACCGACGAATCTCTAATTTGCTCTCGAACTCAATCTCTAAACCTTCCCAAAATCTCACTTCTTCTCACCCCTCACTGGACTCTGCGCGAACCTGATGCCCCGACTCTTCGCCACCGGTTGCGGTTCCCGCAGCATGTCGTCGTCGTCGTCGCCGCTGTCCTCGTCTCTCCCCTTGCTTGTCCCAAGCGCAGCCTCCCTCCGCCTCCTCTCCGCGGCCGTCTCCCTCTCAGGTTCCCCTTGATCCTCATCGTCCGCTTGCTCAATCTCCCGCGACCGCCCCCTTTGCGCTGGCGTCTGTTTCACGCCCTTAAGTGCTTGCTCTCGCCTCCTGCGCTCCGCTTGCGTCTCTCCCGTATCGTTCGACGAAGAGTTGGCATAGTCGATTCTTCTAGCCGCCATTGGCTTCTCGTCGTTGTCTTGCTCAGCCATGGATGTAAGGCGATGCGTAGCAGGGCGTCCATTGTCCTCTTCCTCGCTACCACTCTCGTGCATCTCGTCGTAGTCGTCGTAGTCGTCGTCGTCGATCACTGCACCTTGACGTCTGGCCATCTCAGCACCGACAGATGTGGCTGCTCCCTTGCCTGAAGCCAGTTGTGCATCCTGAGCAGCGAAGAGACGGCTACTTCCCGGAGTGTCTGCACTAGCGTCTTTGCGAGCAAGGTCTTTCATGGCGGCTGATGCATCGCTGGCGGCTACTACTGCAGCTCTAGCTTTCGGGTCCATACCCCGCATCTCCTTCAAGAAGTCGTCCTTGGTCAAGCGACGGCCTGCACCGCCAATCGTGAAGCGGATGTGGCGATCGTCTTCTTCTTGGTCGTTGCTATCGGCGCGCTTGCCTCTGTCGTCGCCTTCATACTCGGCCGTTTTCGTGCTCTTGAATCCCCAGTTACCGAGTCGAGAGACCTTGCGGGATGCTTCGGGTCGGGATGAAGATGCTTCGACTTCGGAAGATTCCCCGTTCTTTTCAGGCTTTCTGGCGATACCGGTCCAGGTACCCATACGATTCAGCTCTTTGCGAACTGCGCCGCCGTGCCCGGACTTGGGTTTGGTGGGAGGGATCTCGTATGTTTTGACAACTTCTCCGTCCTCGTCTTCAACGATGATCTAGCCTCTGTTTAGTAAACAAGCAAAGATGACCAGACGAGGTTGATCTTACCGTGTTTCCAAATTGATATGCCAATGCTGGGCCTCGCTTCTTGGGTGGGGCCTTTGCACCCTTGGGCCCCCCATCCTCATCCTCGGGTTCATCTTTGTGTCGCCACACTCCCAATTTCTTCCTCAGATTCTTGTAGCCCAGAGCTGGATGTTCCACGTCATCCTTCAACCGCTTGCCTGTGTTCATGGAAGCTGCTGCCTTCTCGCCCACCTTATGGGAAGTGATATCAGTATTAACGATCTCGCCATCCTCATCTTCAACGATAACATCGTCGCCTTCGATGTACACCTCCTCTCTGTTCGGATGGCGCTCAGCATCCGACTTGTGCTGATCTCGCTTCTCGTCACTAGAGTGCCTATGCTGGATCTCCTCCATCTCGGGATCATGTTGCACCTCGCCGAGATCGCGTTCATTCGCCTCATCATTTTCTTCTGTTTCTGGGGAGTGCTCGCCTGGTGTCAAGGTGTCAGATGTGTATTCGCTCATATGCACGCTCTGGCTTCGCCGTGTAGGGTAGATAGCGGATTGAGTGATGGGGCCTCCGGGACCCAGACCGTCATCCCACTTCTTCTTTCGGCGACGGGGAATGAGTGACGATGCTCGGCTGCCGGCGTAGCCGGGATTGTCCTCCTCTTTTTGGCGACGCAAGAATTCCCTGGGCATGCCGACTGGGGGCAGAACTCCGGGGGGCAGATTGTCCATCTTCATGTCCTCGGCATCGGGTTCAGAGACCGAGGATTTTGCCTGCGACCTTGAGGTGGTCGCGATGCGCGGAAGTCGATTCAACCAGCCAGGCCCATCAACATCTGTGGTGTACGACATAGTGAGGTGGAGTGTGTTGATATGCTTTCCCAGAGTAAACACAGCAATTGATGAGCCGTGAACAATGATCGACGAGATGACAAGGAAGGTAGTGATAGGCCAGATGAGTGCGACAAGTATATAGTTCTCTGCTGCAGGATCAGGGTATTGTGCCAGTGGGGTCGTTGTGTCTGTTTCCAGCTCAGCCCGAGCTAGAATAGCTACAAAGATTGCGCCCACACCGATAGGACCAAAGTGACCAGCGAAGAGAGCTTCTCGCCAGGTCTTGATGTCTGGAATTAGTGGCTTCAGCGCCAACATGATAGGGATTCGGCGAAAGAAAATGACGAAGAGGGCAATGACAACTAGTCGCCAAGGGGTGAGACCCAAGGCTACGTTGTTGTACTGCTCCCATGGGATGACCGTACCCAAGTAGACAAAGTAGGCCAAATTGATCAGTAAATCAATAACGTTGGAGACGTGGGACTCTTCCGTCTTTTGCGTAAACCAACCGTCATTAGAGAAACCGACTCCTGCGGCAAAGCCAACGAGAAGATCATCCACCCCTAGGATACTACCCGAGCCAGCGCAGAACAATGCCAGCACAAAGTAGAACACGAGGAAACTTTCTCGGTCGACAAGCTCGTGTTTCTCGGCATATTTGATACCGTGTCTGCCAATGTAGCCGATCATGAAACCGTAAAATGCACCAAAGACACACTCGTACAGGATGGTAATGACGATCCAGTTGAAGGCAACCTCGTTGGCATCTGGTCTATACTTGATGAGGTAGAGAGCCAGGTAGACGAAGGGGAAGGCCATGCCGTCATTGCATCCCGATTCTGCGGACAAGACATCTCTCAAATGCTTGGGGATTCTTTTGGCGAACTTTCCCTTTCCCACCACGGAGCTCGCCAGGACGGGATCCGTGGCAGTCACACAAGCCGCGCAGACCAGACTTTCCAGCCATGTGAGTGGTAGGACCATCCACCAGATGAAGAGGCTGGTTACCAGCCAGCCAAACGTCATGACGGGTATCAGCAAGAACACCACACTCCGCCAGTGCTTTTCCATGTAGTACTTGGGCAACTCGACCCCCACGGCGAAACACTGGACTACGAGGACGATTCGAGAGAACTCGAGAGTGATCTGATCGGTATTTCCCCATGTTCCAGGGTCGATCAGGTCGGCAGCGTGTGGGCCAAAGATGATTCCGCAGAGGGTGGCGACAGTGGCTTCACCAATGTACAGTTGCTCCTTAATGAACGACGAACAGAGCATGAACAGCGAGGTGAAGCCACCGAGGATGATGTAGACCAGATGCGGCCGGTTGATGGAGAGGTGGTCCCACGCCATGGCGAAAGGAAGCTTGTTCTCTCTCGGGGGTGCTTGTAGCTGTTTTCCGCCCGTCCAGAAGCAAGTTGGTGGCTGATTTTAGGTCGTAGGTGAGTAGGTGAGTAGGTGAGAGAGAGAGGCGTGTAATTAGGATTTGAGAGAGGGGCGAGTTCGCAATTCTTGAGGTCCAGGTCCAAGTCCAGATCGAGCCGCCACAACCTACGTTTCCTTCCCAATGCCCCAGTCTGTCGATTCGGTCAAGAGTATGGGGTGGTGTCGAAGCATTCAGAATTCGATGCGCCCAGTCGCCGCTCCAAAGTAAGGTTGTTATTGGTCTCTTGGCTTTTGTGCGTGTTGGGGGTGCGGCGCCGTTTGCGGTGAGTTCACGGACGGTCGAGAGGTATGTATGTACGTATATTCACAGGTATCGTCGGTTTGATGTCGAGGTCGAGGGCGAGGGAGGGAGGGAGAAGTAGTGAGAGAAGTAGTGAGAGACTCAGAGTAGGATTGAGAGAGAGAGTGAGAGTGGCAGTGTGGAAGAAAAAATTGGCGGGGGTGAGGCGAAATATTATTCTTGTCCTCAACGAGGCCAAGGCTCACTAACGGGCGCTTTCTTGATGATGGAGGGAAGAATGGATGCAGGATCTCCAGGATATCCAGGTCAAGGCAGAAGCCCAAAGCCCAAAGCCACCATAAGAAGCCAAAAAAGAAGAGGGCCACGGCCCCTCATCGATGACGCAATATAAGTGGGGGGCTATGGCCTATTGGGGCATAGCTGAACTGAGGTAGGTCGATTGAGGTAGGGAAGCTACAGTAGGGCTGTAGGCTGTAGGTGGGTACCGAAGTGTGACCCACCGAAGCGGTGGAAGGGGGTGTGGAGATCATCACCCCCTTGCTGGTTGTGCTGGTTGGTGTTGTTGGCCTCTGCTACGTACCGTAGTACTACTCCGTACTAGTACGTACCTTAGTATGTACTAGGTACTACTAGTTCTACTACCTACTATTACTATCTACTACTACAACGTACGAAAAATATGATAAATATGATAAATATAGATAAATACCTGGCTATAATCCCATTCCCCTATGACTGACTACCTTACCTACCTACATACCACAACGATACAGTACGTAGTATCTAGGTATGCCTGCCATGGCTCTCTGACGTTGGCATTATCTGATAACCACCCCCTGTCTTCTCGTCTCTTCATCCATGTCTACAAGTAGTTATAATAATAGTACGCAGTAGATGTCAATCAGTTATTGAATTCACCGTTACCTTTACAAGAAAGCTTTTCTACGACTTTGGCTTCTTAAACACCGAAAAATGACGTACCCGCTCGAAAGAAACTACTCTATTCAAAAGAGATATTTTCTACCACGTACTACGTACGTAGTATCTGTTTACAACGCTCCATCGATCTCTAGGAAGAGACTACGCGAAATCATATCAAAGGCTTGAGACGCTATTTGTGATGGCCATATCGAATCTTTGTACGACTCGTAGTTGGGGCGTTGTCATCCTGTCATCGATGCTCAAGGAAGGCCAACTCCATACTGTACAAGATAGAATCCTAATCGATTGATATTTTCTTTATTCCAATATACTCCATTATTACCCCCTGCTATACCCCCTGGAATCGGCCCACAAAAGACCCAGTATTACTATACATTTATTTACGGTTCTTCGGGGAGTACGGATAACCTTCAGCCTTCACTCTTCAACCTTCAACCTTCCGCCGCCTCGGCCAAATACTCTTTGACTTCTTTCTCATGCAGCAACACTCGATATGGGAACCGAAAGGATTCCGCACTCAGTATCGGCCCATCTCATCCCATCTTACCAATAATTTATTGCATTTTTGTCACCGTCGGGAGTGTGCTCCTACTCCGGAGAATCAAAGAAATCTCCTCCATGTCTTCTACAAGTACAGACAAGCCTCGACCCGCAGCTAAGCGCAGATCGGCCCCCAAGTCACGAAACGGTTGCTTGACATGTCGGTGTGTACCTATTCACTTGCTTGCCTGCCCGATCCTCTTCAAGTTACAGACAGATTCACCCTGCTTATATACCTCTCGATAGCTACTTATACTGCTACCTATACGTAGGACATCGTGTGGCTAACAGGGGCGAACCGTATTGTAGGGCCCGTAGAGTCAAGTGCGACGAGCAACTTCCAATTTGTCTGTGCAATTCGGCATCCAGTGATCCAAATAATCCGACCCGCTCCCAGCATCTACCGCTACCCACCTACCACTACTAATCAATATCCCGACCTTGAATTTCACTGACTCGTTCACCATCATTCTAGGTGCCACGTGCAGCCGGGTTCAGAGACCGTGTGTCTGGAAGAGAACCCAGCCAATCTCGAGTCGTCTTCTCTTACCGCAGGCAACAACAGCAACAGCAACAGCAACAGGAACAGGAACAGGAATAGGAACAAGAACGACAGATCAGCTCTGTCAGATTCGGCCTTCCGAGACGCTACGATTCATTGACCCGCGTGAAGCCTTCTATTTCAAGGTCTACCAAGATGAGGTGTGCTTGGAACTTTCGAGGTACTCGAGACAATCTGCATGGAGCTACACCCTACTCCAAGCATGTCATCACGAGCCCTTCGTGCTTCGAGCCGTGGTGGCAATCGGAGCTCTCAACAGGGCTGTCAAGCAAGTACATTTCGCAACCCGCGGCTCCAAGGATACGCGAAAGCCGAACTTGGAATTGGCAGCCGCCCATCGAACCTTTGCTCTGGTCTCCTACAACCGAGCCATACAAGGGATGCAGCGGATCGTACCGATTCCACAAAATCCATCGTCGCTGAGGAACGCGCTGATTTCCTGTCTTCTAATCTACTGTATCGAGCTTTTCCTGAAGGCCCCGTCGACTGCGTTAGCCCAGGGTCAAAATGGCTACACGCTTCTGCAGCAGTGGTTAAGGAGTAGAGAAGGGCCAAGTCCTGGTCTCTTGTCCCCCAACAGCAATATCGTCGACGATGAAATATTCCAAGAATTTGGACGGATGGAGCTGTATCATGCCCAGCGATGGGGCCCTAAGGATCTTGTACGACACGAGAAAAGGAGGCAGGAAGCAACATCCACTGTCAGAAAGATGCCAATTGCATTTACGACTCTTGGGGAAGCCACGCTCTTCCAGGAACTATTAATGCGGCGCACTTTCCACTTGATCGACGAAAGTTACGCCCGCAATATGGCTTTGAAGCAGGACCTTCGGCACCCTTACTGTGCAGATAACCCTGGGGAGGTGATCGATCCGTGTGACATACCCGAGAACCTCCTGGAAGTCCGGGACTTGTACCTTGTCGACATTCACCGGTGGCTGAAGGCTTTCGAACCGGTCCTAGCCCAAAGCAAGAGACCATCCGATCCGATCACGCAGCTGGAAGTTGCCCTTCTGCAAGCGCAGGCCTTGGACGCCGAGATTTGCCTCGCAGGAGCCTTCTTCACCAGAGAATGTGACTTTGACCAGTTTCTCCCCTCGTTTGCCGCGATCGTCTCGCTGGCCCGTCAGGTTATTCGAATCCGGGCCCAGCTCTGGACTCCAGATCTGCCCGTCTTCAACTTTCCCGACAGCATCGAGAAACCACTGTCTGGCGTGGTTGCATACTGCCGGGACCAGACCATCAGGCATGAAGCGCTCTCCATGCTCCGCTCAACCGCCCATCGAGACCCCAGCCACACCATCGCTCGAACGACCACACGCTTGTCTTTCCTCGTCGAGCTCGAAGAGCGAGGTCGATTGCCCGACGGCACGATACCCGAAGCTGCGCGCTGGAGGATCGGCTGGGTGCTGCACCACTACCTCGAGACCCCCAACGACATGACCATCCTGTACTGCCGGCGGCTGCGCTACCCGATGGGCAGAGCGTATCCCGCACAGCGGGAGTGGCTGCGGAGAAAGTTCACGCAGGAAGAAGCCGAGACGATGGAGTATGCTCCTTGGGACGAGAGCATGCACTACGCGGGGGCCTGGGCCCCGAGGAGGAATCACGCTAAACCTGGATGTATGGCGTGGCGAGAGGTGCACGCGGAATTGCTAGGGAGAAGTGAGCGGGCGAGAATTGACTGAAGTGGTATCGATGTCTGTCGTCACTGCAAGTCATGCAACCCGTTTTGTTTGGGGGGGGGGGTAGAGGCATCTGGTCTCCGGGGAATTAAAGAGCCTATCCATGAAGCATCGGGCACTATTGTCAAGACTCGCGATGGTGACATGTAATCCCAAGATGCAGCACCGCCCGAAATCGTACTACTACTATGTACAGTACATCGGAGAGGACTTTGGCCACCGTCTAACGCAAAGGGCCGATGCTGTGCTATCGACAGCTACGTAGTATTAGACCTTACAGATATAAAGTATGCTTCAGCCTAGTCTGGAATCGTTACCTACCTACCTAGTAGTACCTACAGTCACACCAACCCACCTCTAACTGCCAATGCACAGAACCTTCATTTCGCACCAGAACTCTGCGCTCCGTAAGTATTAGTAGTCCATTTGACAGCTTACTTCAACCTTCCATAACCAGAACCTTTTCGAAAAGGTAAAAAAATCAGAAATTACATCGTAGTAATACGTGGTACAACCCTTTTCACACGCAAAGTACTGTAACAAGAAATAACCTCTTGCGACGACTAACTAACCGTAAGACGGATTTTCAAGCTGTACTGTACTGTACTGGGTAGGGTCTACTACGGCACAAGCGTAATTGTACCACGGTACAGGCCTAAGTATTACCCCTCGAGGGTGCCTTAAAAGTTTAGTTTCCACTTTAAACCCCCTGTTTTCCCTACCCTCGAGGGGTAATACTTACGCCTGCGACGTAGTATGTAAATGTCCGTAGTACTACATATTTTAAAGGTCCTACTACAGTAAGTTCTCGCTGTTTTTATATGCTTTTATCTATTCTATTAAGCTATAGACCACCTTTCCGCCGCGATTACGTTCAAGCAACGCTATTTTATGGTTTTGATTGAAGCATTGATTCTAGTAGTAAGTAGTGTGTTTCTCGATTGAATCTTACGCTTTTGAAAAGAAGAGTTAAGAAAAGGAAAGAGGAAAAGAAGCGTTGAAATGCACTACGATTAGAAGTTAAACCGGTTCGATACACTTTTGCGATCTTCCTGATCTGATAAGACGCTTTTTCGATTTAGTACTACGTATATTACTACGTGCTACGTAGTGCCTCGACCATTTCCAAAATCATATTCCCTTTCGCAAAAACCTATCTTTCGTACCTTTAAGGTATAACACTTACTTTTACAACGTTATACTTATCATTATTATGATATTCATTAACGTCGGGCAAGTATCTAAAATGCAATGCTTAGACCTTATGACCTCTTCTGAGGTACGGCGACGTGCTAAGTAGAAGAATGAGATGTAAAGCGCTATCTAATCGAGATTGAAAAACCAAGCTAGAGAAAAGCTTTTCTTTTAAGTAGCTTCGGGTCTTCAATCCCGCGGTATCGCGTAACCTTTGTGACCTTTAAAAGCACATCAAATTGGTGTAGCGCGGCTGGTTATCGATTTTGCTTGCTTTTTTTTACGGGTAAGATGGTACGTACAGTAGTAAGTACTACGTACGTAGTAGATCGCAGAAAAAATATAATTTCGCCGAAAGAAAAACTTAGAGAAGCAAGGTATAGCGTAAGTAACGTACCACGGTATCGATTATCAAGATACGTAGTACTACTGATTCGAAGCCCGATCGGAGTTAATTAAAAAGCTTTTTCAAAGGCGGAGTATCGTAGATCGTTTGAAACTCTCTTTTATCTCTCTTACCCCGTTTCTTTTTTATCGCAAATCCTTTTAGTATAGTACTTAGTATTTTCAATCGGTATGCCCGTCAAGTATGAATCGTAATCGGCGCGGTAATCGAGGTTTAAAAAAAAAAATATAAGGCTCGTTCGGAGCGCCGATGAAAGGAAATCTCATTGAAAGGCTATCTTAATTTGATTTTGGCTTTCTAGACCCTCTTTGCCGCAAAGAAAGAGAGATGAAGGTTCGTAAGGGGCAGATCGTACTACGTACATGTAAAGAATCGTAGCCCCCCCTTTATGACGTTGTACTACGTCCCAGGCGTAAGTATCACCCCTCGAGGGTAGGGTAACCAGGGGGTTTCTAGTTGGAACTAAACTTTTGAGGCACTCTCAAGGGGTAACAATTACGCCCTGTACCGTGGTAGTATATGCGTAGGGAGAGTTGATTTTTTGCTTTCGATTAACTTTTAGAAGGTAAGCCTCATAATCTCACAGTATAAAAAGGTGCGAGCGATTTTGGCTTTTATCTTTTGTAATTATCTTCCGTAGGTCTAGGTCTAGGTATTAGTAGATAAGGAGATTCGAGAATGAGGGTTTTGATTAACTTCTTCTCTTCGAAGATACTACTAGAATGAATAGGTACCGGCTGATGTTTATTTCTTGAAATGGTTTTTTTTTAATATAGTATTTTGAAAAAGTTGACCTTGAGTTTTGATGCGAACAAAAAAGTGGGGTTTTATGTATTAGCTATTACCAGTTACCTTCCCTACCTTACCTACCTTACCAACGTACTGTACCTAATACTATCTGGAGCGACGATGTACGGGATACATGATTAAGATCAGCCGAAGCCGCGAGGAAGGGAGGATTAAAGTAGATACCTATACGGTTCCATGTAAGTAGAAAAAACGAAAGAGAGAGCGGGTAGACGAAAAGGACTGACTTTCTGTATACTATCCCCTCCCCCCTTCTACGGAGTAAATGTTCATCGGACCCAGTTTGGCTTTACGTATAGATCGTACAGTGGAACGGTGGGTTTACTGAATGGATGAAAGCCTTATCAATTCATTCTATTGCGTAAACGAAATTCGGAGTTGCTTGCTTGGAGATGCTTTTTGAACAAAGCTGGATGGATCGTCATAAGTAAGTTTTATTGGTTTAAGCCCTGGTAAAAGCCCTTGCGAAATTATATTTTTCGATGGATACGTAGTATCTTGTGCGATTTAAAGGATAAAGCGATAAAGCGATAGAGCGATAGGACGTGACTCAAGCCGATGAGAGGAGTTCGTCGAAAAAAGTTCTTGGGATTTAAGTACCGTAGGATTTCATTTGTAGTAGTATACTGTAGGTATATGCGCCAAGACAATAATTATTCGAGGTCGATAAAAAGCTCAACCTTACGCGATAAGTAGTAGTATTATTCGAAGCTTATCAAAGAGACCTTTACGGAAGAACTCAACGCGGGACCTTTTAAAGCGACGCAATGCTCTACTTCCAAGTTTGAATCAGCCTTCGGCCTTCGGGACAAAAACAACGAGGATAAGCACAAACCGTATTCAATAAGAAGAAGAAATAGCGCTACTTTTCGATACTACGGTACAGGCGTAATTGTTACACCCTGAAGGAAGGTTCTAGCTATTTTTGTTGGTTTGCCGATAAAAATGAACGTCAAATTGATAAACCTTCATTTGTATATCGCAACAGATCAAATTGTAGTTCTTTTAATATTAAATTTAATTTATGAATTTTCGTTGTGTTTTAATTCAAGGATTCCCTTTCATATGAGGGAATAGATTAATTGTATTTATTAAATACTACGTACGTAGTATAAAGACCATTTAACGCGGAAGTAAGTGCTCCGAAACAGATATGACGTAAGCAACTTACCGAGAGCTAACCGAAGTAAATATCAAAAAGTAAATACCCGACGGGCAATTAATTTATCACTATCATTGCACTCTCTTCATTATTAGTTCAATGAGTGAAGAACCGATACCGGCAACTTTATTTTTGGCAAGTGAATTATTACTAAGTACTTATTGAATTGAATATAAAAAAAGGGGAACAGTTGATTGTAAATAAAAGAGTGTGATCCAAAACAATATGTAAAAATCAAAACATAATCTAATCTGCTCGCTTAAAAGCAAGTTCACGTAGTAAGTCTTTTTCTTTATCTTTTTACGCTGATTATCATTTGATTTATAGAAACGAGGTCTTGAAGTGATGGATTAGAATTAACTTTGGTTATGGCGTCAGCTGGGTTGTTCTTGCTAGTAGTACGTAGTACTTACTACTATGTAACTCGAAAGGTAGTATTGCTCTTATCATTCTTTTATACTTCTGTGATACTTAACATAGGATGTTTCCGGTAAGTATAAACTCTCTTTTGTTCATTTACTTATTGCTTAGGATAGCAACGAATTTGACGTGGGAGTTGAGATTAGAGTTGTTAGTGAAAGATTTATTTACAAAGATAAACAACTTGGCGGTGGATAGGTGTAATTGGATATTTTGACGGCCAGGAAATCACCCGACAGCTGCGAAAGGGTATAGCTTTATCACTCGGCCAATAGACCCCGGCAAAAGGGTAAAAGAATAGATCGGAGGTTTATCCTGCTATTGACTATACAACGAAGGGTCTTAGTCAGCTCCCGAGGCCACGCCCCGTAGCCACCGTAACAGATATAGTGGAGTCCTCGAGCTGGGTTGCCGATTAGCTATTGACTTATTTTATTTAGTGCTTTAAATTGCTTCTCTTTAGGGTTTTAATGCTGGGCGGCTATAGAAAGCGCGCAAGCTACTTCGAGGAAGCATATTGTAGCCAAATACGACCCACGTGCTCTTTGTTTTAGATACTCTTGCTTCTTCGTAGAAGAATCGAGTTTAATCGGCGCTAGCTTCTTTCCTTGGCCCTCCTAAAGAACTGATAAGCCAGATCCCTTTTCGTCTTTGATTATTTGCAACTATTGAAAACCATTGGTTGCTTTCGAGTGAGTTCTTTTACGTCTTTAGCTCTTAGCTTAGCTTTTATGAGCTGCTCTTGCTGTTTAGCTTTTATAGCTCCATTTATATACTACGTCCCAGGCGTAACTATTATCCCTCGAGGGGTAA